TAGGGGAACAAGTTCTATCCAAATTAAATAGTGCAAATGTGAATTTTCAGTCCAATGACTGTGCCAGAAAAAAGGTCTCGTCAATTTAACACCAAAATCATGGTAAAGATGGGATTATTTCAGTTTCTGGATATATGGAAATGCTTAACCAGAATTTTATTAAAATAACTTGTGGTGACATTCGAATTTGATTATATTAAATTATTAACAGATGAGAAATTAGTGTGCTTAGCTACTGCAGAGTTTGAAGTATGACCTTAACCCCAAAATTAATGTTTCCAGAAAGGTCTACCATCTTGTTGGTTTTTAATTAAATTAAGTTCTATTGACAAAAAATGTTAACGGGAAATAAAGATTCACAGTACGTCTAGCAAAGTACAACCTGCTGAAGAGTAAGTGATCATATGTGTTCTTTAGTTTTCTGTCAAACCTGCATATGAAGATAATCTGCATCAGTCAACCACTGGAATCACATCTGAATCATTAGCAGCAAGTGTTTAACCAATCAAAATACAATCTCGAACCAAATAACCAACCAATAGATGTCATGATATATTTGCTGATATGACAAAATAAAAGAAGAATAAAAAGGAAGAACAAGGGAGAAAACAGAGGAATAGATTACAAAACCATGGAAAAATAATAGAGGAAAGTCAATTCTTCATAACTCTTCGAACCTATCTTAGCATTTATATATAACCAAAACCCTGATTCCAACATCAGCACTCTCTGACAAAATTACATAATTACTTCTAATTAGTTCTAATAGAAATAGAAAATTAAAGATAACCGGATAAACTAAATAACATAATCCAATAATAGATCCTACAATTATATTAAAATTGCAAATAACCCAAAAAATCAAAATTCCTAAATAATCCCATCTAGCATACTAATTTCTAGAATGATTTCCCATGACCTCAATATCTTGCCAATTCTCCAAACAGGGGATGTGAGGTGACAGTAAATGACCCATTAGAGTCCCAATATGCAGCTAATATTCTCTCCTTTACGTAAACATGGAGTCATAATATAAATGCCAAGCATCACCTATCATCAACGTTCACTCACGGGTTGTGTGCATGTGTATCTTAGTTTCTGCATTACAATCTGGACATAAGCCTCAACATTTTCACACATGCTCTTCCATACGTGACACAAGCATTCACATTTTGAAGACAGTCTCAAGAGTGAAATTGCAGTTGGACAGATATGAAGGATATAATATATTGTTAGTCAATAGCATGATGTTAAAACACTTAAGTGCAAAATAGATGCAAAAAAGTTCCATTAAACACAAGAAGGGTGAGGGGAGAGGGGAAGGATGTAGAGGGACAGAGACACACACAGAGAGAGAATTACAACCAACCATATGTGAGTATTAATGGCTGAAATAAAAATAAAAAATAATAAATAGATCTAAAAGTATTTAAGAATAGTAGACAAAACAGAAAATAATACAAAAGCTACTAAATTGTTTATTAAATTTAACCAGATTGCTATAGGTGAACATTGGATAGAACACGTCTGTTACTTGTAAATTCTTTATTTGTTTGGGTAGGTATCATACTCGAATTGTAGAAAATATGAATAAGTAATGGATATAAAAATAATTTAACTATAAATATTAAATTAAGTAATAAATATAGGAGTTCAAAATTATTTACTTGGCTTGTTTAGCTGACTTATTTAACTTATTTGTTACTTACTTGTGTAATTAAAATTTTAGATCTATTTGTTCTCCTTAATATCTTTTAGTAATAATATTTTTTAAAAATAAAAATAATAAAAAATAAAAAATAAAAATTAAGTAGGCTTATTATC